ATCACCCTCGCAAGCCGGTGTGACGTTAACATATGAGAGTGCTGGAGGTGAAATAGTTAAACAGGTTACCCAATCAGAACCCAGGGGGTGGAGTCCGAGGGACTATAAAACCAGCTCTGGGAGGGGCGAAGGAGGAGTTCGTTGGGAGTTGGGTGGTTGGTTGGTTGGAGTGGGAGTGAATTGGGATAGAGTCTGTGGGTAGGTTGAATTAGTGTAGCGAAATAAGTTGAGTCAGGAACAGTTAGGAACTAGGAAGACAAGTAAATATCTGAGAGGTGGTTTAGTGAGTGAAAGCAGGTAGCGGAAGTTATAGGTCTGGAAAGGCACCCGATGATTGTAATGGACCAATACTGTTTATGAAACCACACGCTTGTTAAACTGCAATAAATAAACAGAAGTTTATGTTCCAATTTAACCCTGACTGGACTCAGTATTGTACCAGGTAGGGCCTGGGTGGTGGCAGTGAGAAATAAAGTGGTGGCACAGGGATCAATAGATGGTGAAACGTCCGGGGACCCTGTGTGATCACCACAGCCAGTGCCTCTGTTTCCTAGACACCCATGATAAGTGAGTAGTGGGGGTGAGGATGGGTCATAGCTCAGTGATAGAGCATGCAGATAGTCAGAGATTAAATTTCCAGCATTTCTGGGAAGAACTGGGAATGTCCCCTGCTTTAAATCCTGTCAGTGTTGACCCACAGTTGCCAACCTTTTTGGGCCAGTTGGTACATCTGGAGTTTTGAGAATGTACTAATTGTCATGCATTCTGCTGCGTAATGTGTAGATTCATTATTATTATTATTATTATTATTATTATTAATTATTATTTTGCTGCAAAGTCTAGCCTGCTTTGTCTGAAGCCAAGTCGGCAGAAATCCCTTCCTAAGGTCCAGTGATAGCATCGGGGCTTTGTGAAATGCCCATTAATTTTCTTGCCCCTTCACCTCCTCTTGCTCTTTTCCTCACAAATAGCTTGTCTCAAGCCTGGCCGCTGCCAGGTATTAGCGCAAGATAACACAGTGGCCCCATTAATCTCATTCTTGTGATATGATAGCCATCAACCTGAACGGGCCCAATCAGTCTTGTCAGTGAATATAGATCTTGAGCTCGAGGCTCTCAATTTCTTCCAGTCTTTTCTTAAACTTGCAAGTGTTACCTTCTGCATCAAAAAACATGAAATGGCTGACCAAGAATTATTTGTGGGTATTTGTTGGGGACAAATATTCCAGCATTCATTTCCCTGCAGCCTATCAGGCCCTCAAAACACATGGATACTGAGTAGAGAAGAAGAAGAAGAAGAGTTTGGATTTGATATCCCGCCTTTCACTCCCTTTAAGGAGTCTCAAAGCGGCTAACATTCTCCTTTCCCTTCCTCCCCCACAACAAACACTCTGTGAGGTGAGTGGGGCTGAGAGACTTCAAAGAAGTGTGACTGGCCCAAGGTCACCCAGCAGCTGCATGTGGAGGAGCGGAGTAATAGAAGTCAACATTTGATGAAATCCTAGCCAGTATTTCACTGTGCTGATGTTCTGTCAGGGAGCTGGGATTCGTACTGGAGAGGCCAGTAAGCTCCACATTGTGCCAGGCCCCACACAGCTGTGCTGCAGATCTCCTATTTCTGAATTTATAAATCTGGAGCCTGAGATCTCATGATGCTGCTCCCCTTCCCAAACCACCCCCAAGAATAAAGACTCTTTGGATTATTTTCCACCTTGGATTTTAATCTGAGCCAGAGAAGAATTCCTTTCCATCACCATCCAAGCCTCTTCTCTTGACCACTTCTTTGAGGGAAGCTCAGAGAGTAATGACAAGGTCTTTTTAATTGTGGCTCCCCACCTGTGGAAGGAACTCCCCAGCGAGGATAGCCTTTGTGGGCATCTTTTCAGTAAAGACTCACAATTTGACAGTGGCATTGCATGGGGGGTGGCAGGGGGCCCATTGTCCCAGGTACACAATGGGGAGCAGGAACCAGGCACCCACTGCAGAAATCCCTATTGCATGGCAGTGAGCGCTGAGTGAGTGTAGAGGGTCAAAAGCACCCTCCGTGCCCTCCCCTTGGTGGCACATGAGCGCACACAAGTCAGGGGTGAGGGCTGGGCAAGTGGAGGATGAAGAACACCCTCCACGCCCCACCCTCACCAGCGTATGAGCGCCCGCTCTGTGGCGTCAGCGGTAAGGGTTGGGCAAATGCGCTCTGCTCCCACCTGGTGCGCGTATGCACACACGCGCCCCGGGCACTGGCAAACAGTGCTACGCCTCTTCATTTTGATACACTGAGTTGAATTTGTTTTATTGCTAGCGTGCTGCCAAATCTTCCTATAGCTGGTCTTGTGTGAGTGGGCATTTTATATGTTGTAGGGAATGTTAATGTTTTACATACCCCCCATGAGCTAATTTATTTATGTATATTTTTAAATGTAAGTTACCTGGAGTCCTTTTAAGTAACAAGCGATGATGATGATGATGATGATGATGATGATGATAATTCTCACCCAGTGTTTTCCAACCAATGACACTGAGTCTGCACTGTGTCTACCCTGCGCTGGTTCTGTGCTGGAATTACCTAGTGGTGATAGTCAGATCAATCTGTCCACATTTGGGCAGGCACGGTGGGGCTTAAAGGAAGTGGTAGAGTATGGATAGCTCTGTCCTCTGCATGCTGTTGAACTACAACTCCCACCAGCCTTATCTAGCACCTCCAAAGGTCAGAGATAATGCAAGTTTAGCAACATGGCATCACACTGTTGTACCCCTCTCTGGACAACCAATATGAACAGCAGTGGCATGGGGCTTTCACTTCCTACATAGATTGCCACCTCTATAGATCTGGTTATGAAAATTCATTTAATATGGCCTTATGTCCTGGCTTATGGTCACAAAGTTTCCCACCATCCTGCTAAGAGGAAAGCAGCAACTTACGGGCCAACTCAAGTGAAATTGAGAGGGACCGATCCCTCCATCGCTGGAGAGAAGATAATATACAAACATAGGAGTGGATTTCTTGCAGCTCTTTGGGATCCTGTTTTGTTGTAGTTGAAAATTATTATCCTACACCAGGGGTGGGTAACCTCAAACCAAAGTGCCAAGGGCCTCCAGTGGCACAATCAATATCTCTGTTAACCAAAAGGTTGGTGGTTCAAGCCTACCCAGGAATGGTTATGTGCAGGATTCCTGAATTGCAGGGAGTTGGAGTAGATGACTCTTCCAACTCTACAATTCTATGATTCTATGAAATGCAGCCCTCCAAGTATCTGTATCTGGCCCTTGAGACTTTCCGCAGACCACACCTCCTCCTGAGTCACACCCTCTCTCCAAACCCTATGTCCTCATCTGCCTTGCTTTCAGTGTTGTTGCTTGGGTGGAATGTCTCCCTGACAGTGCCAGATTTATGTATAAGCTAAACAAGCTACAGCTTAGGGCCCCACTCTCTCTGTCTCTCCCCCCCATTTATCAGTTCAACAATTACTTTGATAAAATACATATTTTGTTGTGTGAAAATGGCTTTAGATACCTATTAGGTCCATAAATTACCATATAGCATATATTCAACACACAAAACAGCAACAATTTGTTGTTGACAAAGGACAGCTGAACATATAAAGGGCCCCATTACCTTCAGTAGCTTAGGACCCCATCAAACCTAAATCCGGCCCTGATCCCTGAACTCTAATAGCAATTCTTGCTTGCTTGGCTGGAGAATAGACAAGTGTGTGTATAGAAACTAATCTGCTGTACAAAGGGGGGGGGGTGGAAACATTTTCTTTGCTCCATCCACTTTTGCCCCTGGGGGTGCCCACTGCTTGAATATTGTCCAGAAGGGAATTAGGCCCATGGGCTGGAAAAGGTCCCCCATCTCTTGCCTTAAGGCATGAAATCAAAAGTGGTTGACCCTGGGTAACCCATATGACTTGCAGGCAAAGCTGCCAAGGGTTCTGGGGTGAACCAAAATTCTGCACAGCAATATTTCTCCTTTTACTTGGGACTCAGGGAAATAACACATGCTTCCTTACAGCACAGCCAAATTGCAGCCCGAGGGCAACAGACTGCTCGCAGAGCACCAGAGAGCAGAAGCCGTGACAAGTTCACTTTGATGTCCCCCACCTGCAGAGGTGCAGCCAGGAGAGACTAGCATTTGTGACAGGTCAGGAAACAAACCTGCCCTCGTGCTCAGATAGAGCCCTGGAAGCCTGAGGCTGTTTGGAAGGTTGTATTTTGCTAGCAAACTCCTCTGCACAAGACAAGGCTGCCTTGCTACTAAATTTAGCATAGCTAAGCGCATGTAGAAGATTCAGTCAAGAAGAGGTGCTACCACATTTCCACCCAAGCAAAATTCTGACATCCTCGTAAACATCAAGATGATTTATACAATGCTTATGTGTATATAACAACAAAGAGCCTTGTGGCACCTTAAATGCTAACCAGTTTATAAAGGCATGAATTCTCATGGACTGCAGTCCACTTTATAGAGCACTCAAAACAACATGCGATAAAATCCAATTTTAAAATGTATGTACTAAACAGCATAAAATAGCACAATGTTCTTCAGCATTGAGACTCCAGATGTTGTTGGACTAGAACTCCCATCATTCCCTAGACAGCTTAGCCATTGGTGAGGGATGCTGGGAATTGTGGTCTAACAACATCAGGGACTGAAGGTTGACGAAGACCGCTGATATAGCAAACCTGCATGAGTATTAAAATAATAATAATATAATAATAATTTATTATTTATACCCCGCCCATCTGGCTGAGTTTCCCCAGCCACTCTGGGCAGCTCCCAATCAAGTGTTAAAAACAGTACAGCGTTAAATATTAAAAACTTCCCTGAGCAGTGGAAGCAAGCAATGAACAGAACAGAGTACTTTTGCCCCATTTCATTTTTGCAGGCATTCAAGTCACCTTATATCAACTCAAGTCATTAGTCCATCTAGCTCAGTGTTGCTAACATTGACTAGAACTGGTTCTATGGGGTTTCGAGCAGCACTCCTTACCAGCCTAGTCTGGAGATGCTGGGATTTGAACCCAGGACCTTCTATATGCAAAACTGATGCTCTACTACTGAGCTATGACCCATTGTAGGTTCTCAGCAGGGGCATAGTGTGGGGAGGGCCAAGGAGGCCATAGCCTAGGCACATGATTTTGACGGGACATAAGCCAGGCATCCCATTTATTATACAATTCTGCACCCATCATGGGTAATGTTGGCCAGCCAGACTCCCCTTGCATGGGCAGGCAGGTGGCATAGCATGCCCCATGAACCCTCCATGCCTGGCACCTGCCTGGCAAGGGTTAAGTTAGCATGGTGGGTTTTGTTTACCCTCTGCATCCAGTCCCTAGTCCTACTTGGTGCACACATGCATGCCCCAGGTGCCAGCAAAGGATGCAACACCACTGGTTCTCTGTTCTAGATCCAGCAGCTCCTGACAGGAAGTGGTTGCTGATATGTCTTCTAAGAACATAAGAAAAGTCCTGCTGGATCAGGCCAAAGGTCCATTTAGTAAACAATTCTGCTTTTGCAGTGGCCAACTAGGCACCCAAGGGAAGCTCACACACTTTATTCCCAATAACATTTACCCCTATTTCCACCCCCCACCAAACATGGTTTGGAGAACTGCAAAACTTGTATAAGCATGAATTTCAAAGGATAGCTGTGCTTTGGTTTGCAGATTGTTTTGGCAAGTGCAAAATTGATTCAGCTTTAAATGCATATTCCATCAAGCTTCTCCTTCTTTCCTACTAGTTTCAGGACCATTGCTTGGAGCTCCAAAAATATTTTATATATTAAAAATCAACCCTCCTTCTCCTAGAGGCAGGTCTGCAAATATGTGCCTCTAGTTCAGACCCTAGGAAACTTCTGCTGTGTTATCTCCCCCACCTCCTGGGGCTTGGGGAAGATCCTCTTTCCATCTAATGGGCTCCCCTGTGCCAGACTGGAGAGGTTTTGGAAGGTAAACAGCAACAACAGGAGGTGCATCCAAACAGCTGCAAGGAGGAGGAAAGAGTGATATAAATACATGTTTAATTGTAGTTTAATTACAATTACTTACTAGACTAAGTTTTTTTTAAATGCAGCGTAATTAGAGTGAGACCTTGATTTAATCACAGCCTTATCAAACATGGTTACCACTGATTCTCTCAGTTTCCTCTGCCACCGCCCTCACCTCCCCATGCAAATTTATCCTCTTTATCCATCTACGTTTAGAAGTGATGCAAAAAAGGAGGGGGGGTAAGCCACTCCATGTTAAAAAGCACTTGAGTTTCCTGAAGCTCTTGCTTCACCGCTCAAATCTTTTCCTTGAAAAGAGAAACCAAACCAAACTTATTCTCTAACCTTTCTCTCTGTTGCAGTCTCTAAAACAAAGGTTGCCAATGTAATGCCTACAGATGCCAGTGTTCCTGGCAATACATAATCTGGCATCCACAAAAGCTATCATTATACAATATATCCCTTAAAAATCTAGAATGCATGGCAGGCTGTTTGCTCTCCCTTCTCAATTCCTGCTTGCACTGGATCAGATTTTCCTACACTGACCATGACCCTGTCAATATGCCCACACTTCACTAGATGTTAGGATTGGACACTAGGCCCCCACTTCTGTTCTGGATGGAGGAGAGGTGCAAAAAGCTTCACTCTCTGGGTGTGGAAGAGGCTGGTTTAGTTGCTATTTTCTCAGCAAGGAGCAGGTAGGCATGCCTGCGCTATTTTGTGACCCTGATAAGACAGAAGCTTAAGAATAAGCACATGCCCAATTAGCATGAACCAATAATATACTGATTCTTGCATCCCCAATTTTGCATGCAAAGCAGTTACTACCAGTGCTATATTTCTCGAAAAAGAGGTGCCAGAATTCATCATAAACACCTCCCTTGTTGTCTTTTAATGACAATGGTGTCCACCTGAGAGGTACTGGAACTGAGTTCTGGTGAGTTTGGGCTGAAAAAAACCCTGATTACTACTACGGAGCTTACAGTCCTTCTTCAAAGAATGGGGCTTTCCTCCCTCGTCACCCCTTTCCTTTGCAGTCTCCATTCAGCCCTTAATATTTGCTACTGAGGGTTGCAGGACTTGTTTTGAATGGTACATGAAACTTCAGACATAAAATTGTGATTCGGGGACCCTCCCCCCACCCTTAGGGATAAGAAAGACACACGGACACAGTATTTAGGGTTAATGGGCTAGAAAAGGCCACAACTTTATTGATTACAGCTTGTGAGAGGTATTGGCTTAGGCATTGGAGAAACCTCAAAGTTCGACTCCGCCCCTCAGGGAGGGGCAAGTCTAAAAGGGGGAGGCTGTTGATGCAAATACAACTGTAAGCTCTCCCCTGATGTCACCGGGGTTGTGCCATGGCCCCCAGCCACAGCAGGGCATCGGACAGGATCCACGACCGCCGGATTCCTTTAACAGAATACCCATAAGGAAGGGGTAGGCGATGGCCACACCCTGCCCTTCCATACACCAACCACAGATTCCAATGCCTAACCACCAATACCAGAAAGTTGTGATGAGTTGCCACGAGGTAGGCAAAAAAACCAATAGGCCGGTGCCAATTTGCCAATTGGGAAAAAACTCCTACCAGGCCCCTCGGACAACCAAGGCGACCAATCGAAGGTCCATAGCAAGGTCATTCAGAAAGGATGAACTAAAGGGAGGGTGGGTGGGTGACCTGATGGAAACTGCTGCACAATGAGGGGAAGAGCTGCTGTGGCCGCATTTAGGTGGCTAAACCTCGCCCCTGAGCTTCCTACCGATTGGAAGACTGACGGGGGAGCAGGCAGGGGGGCTGGCACACCCCCTGCAAAGCGTGGGAAAGGCTCCCGATCACAATCCCTCCCCTCCGGGAGGAGGAGAGACTCTGTCAGACATAACCGACCCCCACTTTAACAGAAAAGCAACTTAAAACCTAAGCCGGGCCTTTACCCATTTACACCTCCATAGGCAAAATAAACATACCACCAACTGCAAGGCTGGGGAACAAGTGGGCATCCAGATGTTGTTGGGCTCCGGCTCCCATCAGCCCCAGCCAACATGGTCAGCAGACAGGCCTGATGGGAGTTGGAGTCCAATAACATCTGGAGGGGCACTGCTTCCCCTCCTCTAATCCAAGGAGGTTCTGTTTGGATTTTCCGCTTCCCTGAAAGATGTTTCGGGATACAGCATATCTTCTTTTAAAAATTTGAAAAATCTGCTAATTTTTAATGCCAGGTGATCAGTACAGGAATATCAGATCTCTCCATAACCGGTAGCCTCCCTCCCAATCTGTAAAACTCCCAGCTGGCTGCAATAACTTCAAGAGAACTTATATTTCTTTGCCCTTTGCCCTTTCATCACATTTTGGGGTCATTTGCTTCATCAATTAGTGTGTTGTTACCCACTCTTCTTCCTATTAGTTACGTCCCCCTCCAATGTGATAGGGAGAGAAAGCATTCAAGTCTGGAAAACAGACGTGAACCCAGTGGTATTTGTGCCCTTTCAGAGTTCATTTCCTCACGCCTAACCTTTCTTGCAAAGTAGATAAATTAATTGGTACTTTTGCGGAGGCAGCCATCACAGCTTGAGGACCAAACAGAAGACCTCGGAGTCTTAGAATCCCCAGCAATACAAGCTGAACTGGAATGTGACTGAGAGATGGTGAGGCAAGATAAAGAGTTACCATCGAAAGATACAGTAAACACTTTTGGATAGATGTACGAGTTAGATAGTGGGGATATATAGATGGCATTAAAGAGATGGATATGGCGAGGAAACCTAAAATGATTCCGTAGACAGGCAAATGCTACAAATGGATGCTCTGAGGAGAAGGGTCTTGCTAGACAGATAGATGCTCAGAGAAAATGGATAAGGCACCAGCTTACACAGCAGCTAGCAATGCAAAGATAGATACTCTTGATAGATAAATGCTACAAATAAATACTGAAGATAGATTCTTCAGATTCTTCTGCCATTTATGAATATTTGACACACGCTTGCACACACACACACACACACACACACACACACTCGTTTCCAATGAACAGCACAGCGCCTCATCCAAAATAAAAAGTAACCAAGCAGCCAATAGCCATGTGTTTAATCATGCTGTTAAACATTTAAGAGATGTTAGCTGGAGCAGGGAAAACAACCATTTATCAGCGGGTTCCAAGCTCTCCAGGCCTGATGGATGCCTCACTGATGGCACAGCAAGAAATGACATACATTACTTCTCAAGGAAGAGAGAGAGTCTGTAGCAAGTTGCTCAAATAGAACCATAACTGGACTTGCAACAGAACTGTTCCCCAGGCATTAAAAAGGTGGGGAATCAAGATTCTGAAATGCATTGGGGGCCTCCAAGAATAGAGGAAATTCACAAGCCCAGATGTTTGCCTTCAAGGAGCTGGAGGGTGACAGGAGTGGCAACAGGGAAGTGGCATTAGCGTGGACTTATCAGGGCATGCAGTGGGGTGTACCCAGTGCAGCACTATGTTAAACTCAGTTAATGTTATAGTGCTAGTGGAAGGTGCCAATGGAACATTGTTGCACAAGTGAAAACAGAAGTACCTTACTAAAGTTTGTTGTGAGGCAGATTGTGCAATGAGGACCAGCTGTCACACAACAAGAACCAACAGTTGTGCAAGGAAAAACACAAGTACATTACCAAAGATGGTTGTGCAATGGATTCGCAACAAGGATCAGTGGTTGCATAACATGCTTCCAACAGCACATCCTTTGCATGGAATTCCCTTATCATGCAAGCTTTAAACTCTGCCATCCACCAATGCAGAGACTGTTGGAAACCACCCACTATGTTTGCTTAACATCCTGCCTCATATATTCCCTCTTTTCCCCAGTAATAAACCTAACTTCTCTTTCCAACATTCAGAGGAGAACACTATCACTTAAGCAGCCAAAACAGTGCTATCCATGTGTACAATTGAGATGTTGCTGGCTTGGGCTTGGAGATCTAAAACATCCCAATGAGTGCTGAGTTATTTGAAGATGGCTATTGTGGAGAGCTGAATTTAAGACTAGAAAAATAAGAAACAGAGAGAAACCGAAATTGACAGATTTCTCTATGCCTATCCTTTAGTGAT